CCTATGGCTTAAATGATGATGAAATGGGCTATCTCATCTCAATGGGTTATGCATAGTTATTTAATTTTTATCATTATGAGATGCATCTCAATCTTAATTTTAAATATCTTGAAAAAATCGAATTGCCTAAGGCGGGAATCGAACTCACGACCTTTCGCTTGCCAGGCATGCACAGTTATTGTATAAAGCAGTTAAAGGTAAAAAAAAAACTATCGAAATGGTATATCAAATGACTTACTGTAAATCTTTACTGTGTCAGTTTATCAGGCTTCAAAACAGATGCAGTTTTAGACTGTAATGCATTGCCTTAAGCTGGTGCCTTTACGATGTGGTAGTCCTTGAATCGCATCACGTTTTATGGTCAAACGACCACGGAATGTGACCCTAATGTGGGACGTGATAGCAAAACAAACGTCTAACTTATAGTGTAGCGACTTATTTAGGTTTTATTTTTATTTTTTTAATTCTCTACCACTTCTCGATCATTGTTTTACACACACATGAGTTAAAGAAGAAAACTTCCGTAGGCTGATAAAGTTTAATAACAAATTAAGCAAAACATTAGAAAAATCATAATGATACCGAGAATTAACTTAGGATAGCGTCATCTATGAACTGAAAATTGGAACCATTATGAAAAGTGCAGTACATGTCTGCACTTTTCGTAATGGACTTTCCACGTGCATTTTTAAAACATAAAATAAAAAGCTATTGTGGTGAACCCACTCCTACCAATCCTACCATAGACTCGGAGTGTTTGACGAATTTAACTTTATTTTGTGCTGGATTGTGCATTGAGCCCAAAATTAATATTATCCTGAATAAAAAGTAAATTAAGGAAGAAATTCGTCAATACACCTTGAAGGTTGCATTCACAATGCTGAAGATCTTTCCGCGTTTTTGCATGCCTACTTATTTGCGGAAAAGCCTTCGAAATACAGCTTTTTCTTATTTATTTCTTCCACCAATTTGGTAAGCGATACTTTACTTAGTCACTTCCTAAAAGGAAAAACGTCTTCAAGAATTTAAAATTTTTCTGATAGGGTGATGCGACTGTCGGTCGCAGGATTTTATGAAACGAAATCTTTTTGCAATAGTTATGACTCTATATTATCTTACATTTATTTTGATACTAGCTTTCCGCCCGCGGCTACACCCGCGTGGAATTTTGTCTGTCACAGAAAAACTTTATCGCGCGCATCCCTGTTTCAAAAACCGGGATAAAAACTATCCTATGTCCTTTCCCGGGACTCAAACTATCTTTATGCCAAATTTCATCAAAATTGGTTCAGTGGTTTAGGCGTGAAAGCAAGACAGACAGAAAGACAGACAGACAGACAGAGTTATTTTCGCATATTTATAATATTAGTATAGATAAGGAGAACAGTAGTACTAAAGTTCCCAGTAAGACATAGGCAGCAGAATTGGTCTACATAGTGGCATGGCAGTGGGCAGGGCATACCTATAGCTTTTAGAACGAATGGCCATTGGGGCAGAAAAGTTCTCAAGTGGCGACCACGGGCTGGAAGACGTAGTGTTGTTGGTAGACCAACAATCTAGTGAAGATTGCAGGAAGCACATGAATGCAGTCAGTTCAGAGGTGGAAATGTGTAAAGCAATCGTAATCATTTGACAGTTCATAACGTACGATAGTCAGATAAACAAAGCGTTTGACAGAATAATCGTACGTTATGATGAACTGTAAAATCATAACGATTGCTTTACACAATTCCACCTCACGACCGGCGTTGTGGACCAATCAAACAATCTACTCTTGTTCATACTGATTAAAAGCACGACCAAACTATTGGGCTGACAAAAAGTCTGCAGTGTATGCCGTGTCTCTTAGGCTTTAGTCCAGCAGTGTACGTCTCATTTTATGGCATCATTGAATTATCTAATAAATAGTTAAGTGACACTCCACCGCCTTCGCACAAAGATATCAAACTGTTTTTTTCTTGTCTTTTTGTAATCTTACCTAAGTTATCAACTAAGGTCGCCTTGGTCACGCTCACGCTTCGCTTAGCGTGTGTCAATGACACACATTTTGACAATACATTACTGACGTTTAGCAGGTGGCTTGATAACTATTATTTTATTTCAACCAAGTGTTTATTTATTAGAATTTAGGCATTGTTATCTCTATTAAATTTTCCAATATACTCTACTAGAGGTGTAGCGCTAAGTCAGTGCCTGAGATATGGGAACGGCAATCTTAAAAGCGCTCCACCTAAGTACTTATAGCTTTTATGCATTTGCAAAAAGTCATAAAACTACCGATTCTTAATTAAAAAGTACCGCTTAGGCCCAGTTTTTAGATTCATAGTTAACTAACTAATTGTTACATTTTGCTACTAATGGTTAAATAGTAACAAAATGTAAACTAATAGCACATGAGTAAAGAAAATCTTTACACATGAGTAAAGAAAATCTTTACTCATGTGCTAATAGTTAAAAATGTAGGTACTAACAGTCAAGCTAACCATTGTTCGAAAAACATTTTTTTCTGATATTTTAACCACTTGTCATTTGACATTCTGTCAAAGACTATTGGTTTTTTGGTACTAAAGGTTTACTATTTTAACTACGAATAAAAAAACTGGGCCTAGTCTGTTTCATTTATGTATTATACGAGAAAAAGTGATAGATAAGTACATTATAATTATACGAGTAGAACGAAATAAAATTTGTTTCAATTAAAATCAATAACAAGAAAATAAAAACTGTTTTATTAATGATAATAGTCATCGGTATCTTTTGAAATGCATTTTTTCACTAGAAAGTTTCATTATTTCATAATTTAAAATAAGTTAGTAGTAGGTAATAAATGACACACTTCGTCGGTACTTAAATACTTTTATAAGTAATTACGATTGATTTATAGGTAGGCTCGTCCTACTTAATTTCTATGAATATAATAATAATTTATTCAAGCAAGCAAAGAAAGCCAGAGACAAACGAAAAGTTGGTTATTTTATTCGCTAAATTATATAATGTTTTATTACATTATATATTATTATCAAATTGTTTAATAAAAAAACAATCAATGCAGGGTTATTTTAAGTGAATTCGTAATTTTCGAAGATAATATTTACAAGTTAATGTGTTTTATAATTANCTAGCATTTGTTTGCCACAGGTCGTTTCTGAACTCCGTAAAGAGAACTGCAACCGCCGCATCATCCTCCATCACGACAATGCGAGTTCTCACACCGCGCACTGAACAAAAGAGTTTTTAGAGCAAGAAAACATAGAATTATTAGTCCATCCGCCGTACAGCCCTGACCTAAGCCCTAATGATTTCTATACTTTCCCTAAAATAAAGAATAAATTGCATGGTCAGAGATTTTCATCACCTGAAGAAGCTGTGAAAGCCTACAAAACGGCCATTTTGGAGACCCAAACTTCCGAATGCAATGGTTGCTTCAATGATTGGTTTCGTGTATGGAAAAATGTGTCAAATTTCGCGGAGAATACTTTAAAAAGCAATAAATACATTTTTAAATAGTAATGTTGTTTCACTTCCTTGATTCCCGAAATTTTCAGTGCCGCCCTCGTATTTATTAGAATTCAGGCATTGTTATCTGTATTAAATATTCCAATATACTCTAATATAGCTCTAGCCACAACTAGCGCATAACTTGTGGCATAACTAAGTCAGTGACTGAGGTACCTATGGGAGGAGCGGCACTAGGCAAGGACTATAGCTTTTACGCACTTGCACAAGTCATAAAACTACCGATTCCTAATTAAAAAGTACTGCCACAGTACTGCTTAGTATGTTTCATTTATCTATACTAATATTATAAATGCGAAAGTAACTCTGTCTGTCTATCTGTCTTGCTTTTACGCGTGAAACATTGAAACGATTTTGATAAAATTTGGCATAGAGATAGTTTGAGTCCCGGGAAAGGACATAAGGATAGTTTTAATCTCGGTTTTTGAAACAGGGACGCGCGCGGTAAAGTTTTTCTGTGACAGACAAAATTCAACGCGTGCAAAGCCGCGGGCAAAAGCTAGTTTATTATAAGAGAAAAAGTAATCAATGATAATAATATACATATTATGTACCTATAGAACGAAATAAACCTAAGTTTCAAGTAAAATAAATAACAAGAAAATAAAAACTGTTTTATTAAAATGATAATAGTCATCGGTATCTTTTGAAATGCATTTTTTTACTGGAAAGTTTCATTATTTCATAATTTAAAATAAGTTAGTAGTAATAAATGACACACTTCGTCGGTACTTAAATACTTTTATAATTACGATTGATTTATACTCGTAGTACCTAACTACTTAATATATATGAATATAATTCATACAAGCAAGCAAAGAAAGCCAGAGGCAAACAGATAACTAGTTATGAAAAGTTGGTTATTTTAATTGCTAAATTATGATGTTTTAAGTATTACATTATTTATTATTATCAAATTGTTTACAAAAAAATCAATGGCAGGGTTATTTTATTTTAAGTGAATTCGTAATTTTAGAAGATAATATTTAAAATTTAATGTGTTTTATAATTAATTACTCTTCACGGATTATTAAATATGGAATGTTCATAATTATAAAAATTAATTATTACTGGTATTTATCTTAGCAAGAACATTTTTGGTTAGTTTTAATTGCATTTGCACTACGTATTGCATAGTTTAAGGTAAAGTAAGCTTAATGCACTGAGGTATTATCTACCAGCAACCATTAACAGTGTTTTAACTAAGCGTTATAAAGAGATCACAAATAAATAACAAATTTTAGCTTCAATTTAATAAAACTACCGTCATAGATCGTTGTATAATCTACTATTGTTCATCTTGATCCATAAACAATATTAGCTAATCGTTTTGTTATTATACTCCATTTTGAAAACAATCTCAGCTATATCTCTCATGCAAACGATTCAATTAAAATGATTAATTAAAAGTAAGAGAACGCGACCTTCTTATGCCTATAGTTATTTAACCACTCACAAACTAAACTTTTACTTCTGATACTCACAAAAAACCGGTCATGCAAGGTTGTGCTCCTTGTAGGAACTCGTTGTTTACTTCCAAGTTTCTTTTGCACCGTGAACCAAATGCTTAATTTCACAAAACCACTATTTCTCACGATCCACAGTTACTAAGTTTTTATTTTCTATTCAAAATTCAATTATTCCGAACGCACTTTTAAAAATAAAAACAACTGAACAACACTAAAAAGTTTCACATTCAATTCGAATTTCGAGTTTGGATAAAAGTTTTCGAACTTTTGAAAATAGAACACGTTTAGTGTTGGGGACAGGTGCGCGCGGACTGCGGAGTGAATGACGCGGGAAGGTGAGTGAACGAATGCCGTTAGTCATAATATGGACATCACGTGAAGCCAAACATTGCAGCATCTTATGTAGTTGGAATAAGAACTATTTTCCAATAAAAATGTATAGTCTGATGAGCTAGTACTACTTCGTGGGTTTTTACGCGACGTTGTAAAGCTGTCTTGGTAGTAATTGTNTAACGTTTACATAAATATATTGACTTGGCCATCGCATGAAAACACGTGTAAATTATATTATTTAGTGCGATGGCCAAGTCAATATATTAATGTAAAACGTTAAAGATTTCCTGGCCTGGACTTGGTATTACATGGATCTCACAACTTTTTACCGTAGAACAATTGAGTTGCGAGACTTGGTTTTTTTGACAAGTATTGTTTTTGATGGGATCTCATTTCTTTTTGTATTTTGTAGACAGCAGTTATGTATCTAGAAAACTGGACCGAAATTGAAAAATTTTACTCGACTTGGCGGTTGCACTACCGTGCCCCCAAATCTCATTTCTTTTTGTATTTTGTAGACAGCAGTTATGTATCTAGAAAACTGGACCGAAATTGAAAAATTTTACTTAAATTGGCGGTTGCACTACCGTGCCCCCAAATATTTTAGTTTTTCCTTGATTCATACACCAAACACTACTTATATTCCAAATTTGAAGCTTCTAGGTCTGCTAGAAGTGCCTTAGAATTTTGATGATCGGTGAGTCAGTCAGTGAGTCAGTGAGTGACAAAACTAAGTAACTTTGACCCGTTATAATTCTTAAAGTACTGGTTCAAATTGAATGAAATTTTAAATATACCGTGTCTTTACAATGCCTGCATAGCTAATGAAAATTCAGCCTTCTAGTTTTATCCACAACGAAGTTACAGGCGGTCGAAAATGGCCTGAATTGCTTCGAGAAAAGGATGGTACGGTCGTGCCGCTTTTTTGCTCGACTTGGTGGGGGCACTGCCGTGCCCCCAGATGTAACACACGTATTTGATAAAGCCCGCTTTAAAAGCTGGTTGGGAATTAATCATTGACGAATTCCCAGAAGGAAAAAATAGTTTTATTATTTCGGAAGATGCACTAATGTAATTAAATTACCTAAGTAGGTACTGTAATAAGGTAGGAGCGACTTTATGTTTGTGTGAAGATTGGAAAAAATATTTTTTCCTTTTGACTGACTTAGCACCACTGTCTGTTACCTACTCTCTGAACTGATGGTGTAGCAGGTGAATTACGTTGAACTCCGAGGTTTTCAAGTTTGATTACTGGTAGGGTCAATTAAAATTATCTTTTTCGGTACATAATTAATTTTAATACTTAGATTCTCTCCTAGCCTGTTACCTAATTTCTTATAGATTCAAAGTGATTCTGTAATCAAAATAATGTTTTCTAATGTTAAGTCCTAATCCTAATGCACCTAATGGGCTAGATGACACCACCAGTCAATGAGGGTGGTGGATTTTGACATAACTGTCAATGTCATGTCAAAAATAACCAATCATGCAGCATTTGGACCTCGCGTCTACGTATTGCCATCTGGCGGATTTTTCATTCGCGAAAACCCTCATTGATAAAGATTATGACGACATTTTTTGAATTTACTATTATTTTCAAAGTAGAATGTCCAAAATTAGATTCAAAGTCATTCTGTACTGTAGTAATCAAAATAATACCTATTTTCGAGTGTAACGTCATCATTAAGCCATTGAGTTTTTGCTACTAAAATCAATTACTTACCTAATAGGCTAGATGACACCACCAGTCAATAATAATTGACAAAGATATGCTATGACGTCATTTTATGGAATTTACTATTAAAGACCTTACTTTACGACCTTATAAATCTTAATCTAAGTTTATTGAGGTAAAATTACGTTTTCTTTTAGTAAATAGGTAATGGCTTCTAGGAATTATTTTTTATAGATAGATTAGATATTTATCTTAGGATATCAATTATCAAGTGCAATCAAGTATGATGCTGATAAGTTAGCTTCATATTCTGTCCTGTTCCTAATACTTAGGTACTTAGGCTAACTTGCACCACCTTAACTTTAACCGTAACTATAATTTTAACCGGTGTGATTCGAGTTTGAGACTTGACGTTTGTTACGGTTAATAAGGTACAACTCAGCCTTGAAGTTAGGTACCTATTTGTCTAGACACCCGGTCAATTCTAACTACAGTTAGTGACATAATGGTTAAAAAACAATAACAGTCTTCTGTTAGTCATTTACAACAGCGTAACGGAATTTTTGTTTGTTAACAATGAATGGTCATTAAGTTGCCTAGTTACGTCAAGATGATGTTAAGCCTCCATAAGTATCTACTATTTTAGGTAAATGAACGAACTCACTCATTCAAATTAAATTGGGCAACACTATTAGTGAATGAGTTTATAAAAAAAAAATGATAACTTCGTATTTTTTTAGTTTGATCAACAACTTTTTAGATGTATTTCGCCTTAGACACCATATCCCCTGAAAAATCATAAAATGTAGAGACTCAACTAAACTTTAATTGGAAAGGATGTTTATTTGTGAAGCCACCAGCAAAAAAATCCCTACTCATTTTAGCCTTAATATATCATAATCTGTCTGTTTAAATATTTGGCTAGTATTTAATTTAGTAGGCTTACTTAAGTGCCCACCCACTTATCCTTCGATTCGTCTAGTAAACCCCCTTTTAGTAACTGTTAAACTACGTCAGAGTAGATAAATGACGGATTTTCCCGTAATTACTTGCTTCTTTGTAAAAGAGTCTCTCAGAGAAAGCCGATTGAAAACTTGTTTTTATACGAAGAACGGCATATGAACAAGGTGGCTTACTTATTCGTAATAAGTGCTATTTTATAGTAAACATGTTGTAAAGTTAGTAACTTAGTGTGTGAAAATTTCGTTAGAGGGCGTTATTAATGTAAGTATGCGATAGTAAAATAAACAGGGGTCGATGTAGGTACATATTTTTTTATACATTACATTTTATATTGTTTAATTTAAATGAGTTAGTGTCCGACCGAAACTACTTTTACGGCCGAAACCGAAACCGAAAACGAATTTCGGCAACGGTGTCTATTTCGGCCGAAACCGAAACCGAAACCGAAACTTCCTTACAAGGCTCATATTTTCAGGGAAAAATAAAGAAAACATTATTATAACCGTAAGGTAGCATCCCTATCGGTTTTCTACAGGCTACACTTCGGAGAATGTGCGAAAGAATTACATGAATTAATTCCACCAGCCCCCTTCCATCATCGGGGAACCAGACGCAGGTTAGCGTACCATCCCTATATTATTGACATTCCACCAGCTCGCACTAAGCGTTTCGATGACTCTTTTATAATGCGAACAGCTAGGGGCTGGAATTCGTTGCCTGCTGCTGTCTTTCCCGAAAACTATAACCCGGGCCTTTTCAAGGCGAGAGTGAATAGGCACTTACAGGGCAGATATGTACCATCCTAGACTGCATCCCACTTAACATCAGGTGCGATTGTGGTCAAATACCTGCCTTGTTATGCATAAAAAAAATCAGACAGTCTTTATTGTTTTCTCTTTAAAACTCTAAACGGTATCAAATTATGTTTAAAAAAAGAAAAAGAAGGATTTGTAGTCTAGATTTTTTAAATTACTCGCAATATTCAGGACATCTACATAACCCGTCCCATGGTCGGGTCTTTTACCTTAATAATTTCTTAAAACAAAATTGGTAGTACGTAAGTTAGTATCTACTGTACTTGGCACTTGGATACCTTGGTGATAAATACTAAAATGAACTTTGAAACTCTGAATCCATAATATTATCACCATGAAATGCACTATAGTCATTACTAACTACCTAACTAATGTTTGTTTACGTATAGCATATTTTGCGAACCAAAAAAAATTTTATAGGTTAGATTAAACTCGTTTAAACTTTTATCAGTCATATTGAATTTTTTTTTATGTTTATTACCCGCTCTTATGTTATAACGACATAAAACGAGATAAAACTTACCAAATTCAAAATAAATCACTCGAAAACTCGCCACCACAACAAAACTAACAGCAAACAAACAAGCGAGCGAATCACGACATTGGCTCTGATCGGATTCATTCACTCATTCAACGCGCCGAACATGACCGATAACAGCGCGGAAACTCCCAAATGCACATTCGGTTTCGGTCGTAGTTTCGGCAAGTTTGCCGCCGAAAACGAGACTAAACCGAAACTCGTGTTTTTACCGAAACTCAACCGAAAACGAAACCGAAACCGAACATTCGGTCGGACACTAAAATGAGTAATCTACTTACTTTAGTAACTCCTACAAGTTTTGTCCATGCAAATAATAGCAATAAAGCACTTGAAGAATAAGATTGCAGGCGTTTTTGTTCCGCGATTGGAGTGAATCCCAACTAATATTAGGTATAAATTCGAAAGTAACTCTGTCTGTCTGTCTGTCTGTTACGCTTTCCCGCTTAAACCTCGCAACCGATTTTGATGAAATTTGGCATAGAGATAGTTTGAGTCCCGGGAAAGAACATAGGATAGTTTTTATCCCGGTTTTTGAACAGGGACGCGCGCGATAAAGTTTTTCTGTGACAGACAAAATTCCACGCGGGCGAAGCCGCGGGCGGAAAGCTAGTAATAATCATAATATTGAAAAAATACATAAGTTTATCAATTGCTATATAAAGGTCATAGCATACTTATCAACCCGGAAATGCGGATAAATGTGCGTTGCAGTACGGTACGGAGTTTCATACAAAAACACTGACTGTCTCGAGTTGACACAGTTATGATTCGTTTCCAAGTTGATAAGAGTGCTTCGTCCCTAACTATACGCTTTGGGAACATACAAAATGAAAGTCTGACTACATATCATATTTTATTGATATAATTTTGTACAAATAACGGCGTATAATACATCGGACAGGTCTCACATACAAAACTAACGCTAGTCAAGCTATCCATTAGTCACAAGGTCTACAGTAACTTCAACTAATCGATCCATTTACAAAATAAACCAGTTATCAAAAGATGGCGGTAAAAAATTGATACTTTATGCTAAATTCATTTATTCGCGACGCTATATGTAACAAAATGAATCGGGACTAGACGCTACTTTGGTTCATTTAAAGTTCATTTAGCATGACTGATTGGTCACGCTGTTATTATTGCAATTGTTCGTAGTTGAGGTAAATCTAAATGTAATTATAATAAACACAACGAGAATACAATAAAGATATGCATTTCCGTTAGTTTTTTCACACCCTGTGAATAATCTAATTGACAAAAATTATTTGGTGTACTTAAATGAAAGCCCTACTCAGGGTTTACGAATTAGAATATAGTTTATTTATTCGATTATTTAATGAAATGCGATTTACATTTAGAACAGTCTTTATATAATTTTACTTTAAATGCGTAGTGGATACTTGTTGTGCTGCAGACGCACAGTTGGCCTTACTTTTATGTGTAAATGTAAAATTACAATTAAAAAATGAGATTTATTAAATTTAGTTAAATTCATTAAATTATTTGTAGGATCTTTTGTTTACTGATGCAGAAGAAAATATATTTTAGATGATAATTAGAAATTTTTTAGTTAAATTTTTAAAAGACGATAATACGTACATTTTGTCACTGATTTTGACCATTGTGCGCCCACGTCAATATTTTCATTAAATAACCGAATTCCATATTATATCATTCCTCTCATATTTTATACATACAAAGCGCATTTAAAATTACTCTACCTGTTAAATATAAATCTATGATTATTATCACTAAAGCGGTGCTAAATTTTTAGTTACTCCAATAACTTCATTTATTGAAGCGAAAAAAATGAACCGAACGCGAAAATAAAATAGTTACGCATCACACTTAAATGTAAAAAGCCCAAATACCAAACGCTATTGTATTATTATAGCTACTTACATTTGTCTAAACCACGTTCATATGAAAATTCTCGATATACAAACGCTATGTATGTATACTTATTGAACTATTTATATAAAATACACTCATATCGTAACAATTTTGTGATTAGCTATTTCATTTAATAAATAAATACATCAGAGGTAAATAATAATGCGTGCAAACCACTCGTACGACTAGAATTTCATTTAATTTAACATTACAAATAGTTTTTCTCATATCTACTAGATAGTAAAGCACTTTGAAAATTTACTCCATTTTCATGGAAAAATAAATGAAGTACATTTTAAATGAAATAAATGACAGTAAGGATAAAACATGGTGTTTATAAAGTTTCTCCTTATTCTAAATTGACTAATAGTATTTAATAATTCATTTATCAAATTAATTTGTTCGTAAATGTTAGCTGGCGATCGATCACGAATTCCACGAAATTGTATAATATTGTAGTTTTATTGCTCCGATATTTATTTATACATTGATATGTAAGTACGGAGATCCATTAAAGTAATTGGTCATTCATTTAAATGAAGCGGATACCCAGTAAATTAAATGTGTTTAATTACGAATGAATCTATCAATCAAAAACACACCTAACATCATACGCTTCTAAGTCAACCGGTTCATTTATTTGTGACATTAAATGAACCAGCAACGCAGGCGATTGTAGTAACAAATGAACTGTTTGATTCACTTAAATGAACTTTGGGGTTCATTTAAATGAATTGCCTACTTTTATGGTGTGCATCTGCCGACGTTGTTTGTAATCGTATGGGGTAGTTTTGATAACGATAGTGGAATGTCGAAGTCACCGCTCAGGGATATCTGAGAAACGCACCCGACTAAACCACTCTTGTATTTGCCCATTGTGTTCATTTCTATAGACGGTAGCCCACCTGAAAAATACACAAAAGAATACATTAATAAATTATACGAAAATATAGACTATTTTATAGAATTTTACTCAACATCAAAATACGACACATAACGTTAAAAAAATAAAATGTATAGGCATACTAGTTGCTATTTAGGTAAGATACAATACCCACCTATATAAAGTCCATTTTCTGTGTTCAGCTGCTTCAGTTTCCCTGGGGAGATTTTCCCCACAGAACCCAAACCATCTACTTCTAACACTCCAGCTTGTCGGTTTCTGGAAAATATATTTAATTTGTTTAGTCAATATAATTTGTTGATTATATTTAAATGATGTAATTCAATTATATTGATCAAACTTCTGTTTATTGTTGTAATTGGCTGTTCTGCTAAAAATGAAGAGTATTTCTATTTCCTACAATACTAAACAATATTACGTACCTCGTAGCTCGAGCTCTGTGCCATAGGCCATCGTCAACTTTTGTGTGGTTGGCTATTATTACGACCTCGCCGCTTCCTAGGTCATACCTGAAAAAGACCAATTGAAAAATTAATATTTTAAACCATGTGCGAAAATACTATTTGTCTAAGAATTTATGTTACTTAATGTACGATTGCTAATTTACGTAAGGTGAAGCTATAGATTTTTTTAAATCTTTATTTAAGGAGCTTGATCAACATTAGGCGACCATGTCGCTCCGTACAGCCACATTTTAGTTAAATGAATGAGTTTGAGCAGAGTTACCTCCGTTTCAAACCCACTCTGACCAGTTTGTATAGTGCTCTGGCTTCCTTTGAAGGTATAGATTCTGGCTACATAGGAGTTACAGTGGGTAGATACGAAAGGAAGAAAAGGTGCTATAGCGTTTCTGTAATGTCTATCGTTGTTGGTGTGCCTTGGTAAACAAATAAAATAGCGAGACACAAAAAATATGACACTCGATTGTCTCTAAATTAATATAATATTTATCTCTAAGTTGTAGCTGTGAACCGCAAAAAATGAATCTTAGAGCCCTTACCTGAAGACCAACACAGAGTTCTCTACAGCCAGCGAGAGGAAATCTCCAGGCGTGGCTTGAGCTCGTCCACTCCACACCAGCAGCCCGTCTGCGGCTACCGATCTGAACCTGATGTTGATGTCCAGGGTGTAGCTGAGTAACCTGGAGAGAAAGAATAGTTACTTAATAAAGTGAGGGCGAAGAAGGGCAATGTTAACCAGCAGAAAAATAAAGAAAAAAATTAGGTTTCACCTTAAAGTACAGTCACGTAATGAAAAGGTTCGTCAGTTTTCAAATTGATTCCTTGAACGAATCGCGAGCACATATTACCTTTTGAAACTATGTTACAGAATAATCTCGAGTTAGAGAAAATAATCTTTAACTGTTCGTCAGTAAAGTTCAAAATTATTCAGATCAAAGTTGTTTGACGATTTATCTTGTCAAGAAGATTATTATGATTGATAAACTAAAACCTTGTTGGTTCAACCTGCCATTATTATTTCTATTAAAAAAAAAGCTATTGTCAATTGCTCAATATAATCATTGCATTGCAATGATGGGATAGAAAAATAAACAAGCAAAACCTTATTCGTTAGCAAACGTCATATTTATTAAAATGTTAGCAGCACTGTTTCTTGCACTGTTATGTTGGCAGGTTTGACTCTCACAGTACCTAGTGCAAGCGAAAACCGACACTAAGGTGACGAACCTTTTCATTCCGCGACTGTACAACAAAAGTCCATCTCCAAAGATAAAGTTCAAACTCTCAGGTTAGTTTAAGCATCTGAAGAATTTTATTCCTTTTTTATTTTCAAAGTCTGGCTTTTTAAGATAAATGAACAGGCTCACATAGCCAAATTTCTAAATATTGGCATCAAGGTCATAAACCCGTTTAACAAACGCCTTTATGTGAATAACATTAGACTTTTACGTAATGCACAAATGTAAACGTTTGAATAACAAAATCCTTAAAATAAAAAATATTCATTCCGGAATTATCTGTAAGAACATAATTGTTTTACTAACAAAATCTTACCTTTTCATAGTCTCCTCATCATCTATGTGAATAAAACTATCCTTCCCAGTAAAACTGGGATACGTGTTCGTGTCTCCCCAGTTGATTTCGTTTGTATTCAAATATTTCACTTGCATGTATGTTTGTCCATCATAAATGGGTCCTTCTGTCACTATATCGTTGTTCCTTTCTATACTGCTCTGAATAAACTGGTACTTTTTACTGGCATAATACTTTTTCTTCTTTGATTTCTCTGTTCTTAAATGCTGAGCGTGTTTTTTAGACTTGATTTTGTGGAATTTAGGTTTAGGACCTTTTTTCGCAACGATCGTATGGTGGATATCATTTTCAGATACATTTTGGGGGTATTGTGGTATTGGTTCAATAATTTCCTTGCACATGTTGCTGTTGCTGTAACAAAAAGGTTCATTTAAATATTTGTACAAATAAATGAAATTAATTCGTACAAATAAATGTAATAAAATGAATTGTAAAACTTACTTGCAAGTGTTGTTGCTGGGTTCTTCACAGTTGTCTACGTTGACACCGCCCAATGCTGATGAAACCACAGACAATTCTTCGTCATTGATCACCAACTGGAAAAAACAAATTCATTTTCTGTAAGCTTTTTCGAAAAAGAAAAATGTTTAATATTTTTATCACCAGTAGTTATCACATAATGTAGGGAGATTTATGGATTCTACACTAATGTAATCGAGAATATTGAAAGTGTAGACTTTGGAAATGTCTATGCAAACCTTCGAAGTTGCAGGTAATATTATGTGTTAGTAGACTAATACCTGACAATTTTAGTAGTAAAATCTTTAGCTTACCTGCCCGACACACCCACTAAACGAAGTCCTCAACGCCAATCTAGGAGGCAGCGGGTGTGGCGCCCCTCCCAACAGCATCGGCTGTCTTAACGTCAGCCGCCTGGCAGCGCCGTGTGACGTCACCATTCTGGTTGCATCAGTGATGTCGCGTTGTGACGTAGTCCGGACGCGGAGTGACGCTCGCCGGCCGGAGCGGCTGACTGACACTCGGTGCCAGGAGTTTGGCTCTAGCGGGTATGCTGACCTGAAGTTCAGAGAAGACTTTGATAAATCAACTGGATCTTACACTATCAGTCCATTGCTGATGTGAATTTTTTTATGACAGAACACCAAGTAAATCAATGCAATTTATTTTAAGTGGCTAAATGGTGCCCTATAAGATGTAGGATTTTTTAAAGTTCCGATTAATTTTAGGCGCAATAATCTTCCGATTCCCGCGCAGCACAATTTTTCCAATCGTGTGCCATGCCATGCTGCATGCATCATTTATCGTTATAACATAATAATTAACAAGGTCGGTAATTTTTGAGCGAGTTCATGGATTTCAAATTAGATTATGTGGAGCACTCACACTCAGTACCTACTCGTCTACCAATACTTGATAGAATTTTACTAACCTCTCGAATTTGAGAAATAAATGAACTTTTTGTCACTCTAAATGAACTTTCTCTCTCAATAAACGAACTGACCTCACTAACGCGATCCCCGAGCCCAGATCAAAAGCGAACTCCACGAAGTAGTCCCGGAGGTGCAGCGAGAAGAAGTCCCCATCCCCGCTGGCATGTTCAGAGTTGTACAGCACTAGTCCATCGCCGTTCGTTGGCTTTAGTGTTATCTGAAAATAAATTAAACACATCGATATTCATATTGCACCAGTTCATATAGCAATACCCGTGCAGAGTAGAATAAGATAGGACTCTAATACCCGTATTCAGAAACGATGATTGAATGAAGCAGCAAATAGAACGCACAGCCTTTTAAAAAAAATATTTTATTAAAAAAAATATTCCATTATTATTATACAGGGTGTCCCGTAATGTAACGTCAAGCCGGAACTGGGTGTTGAGGCAAGTTGTGCTGGTTATCAGAAAAATATAAAAAAAAATCTATGTGGCATATTTTAAAAATAATAGGCATTTAAAAAAAATCAAAAAATTCTACTCCAGGTGACGGTCCTTTTGCTCGTGTTNATCGGTTCAGCCGTTCTTGAGTTATAAGTGGAGTAACTAACACGACTTTCTTTTATATATATATATATATATATATATAGATCACGCGGACCGAGGCGGAGCGCGGTGCAGTGTGATAATCGTCTAAATGATGCCACGGTGCTATGCGTGTCCCGATGTATCCAAGTAATTTTGACCGGAAAGGGGACTTTCGACCGATTTTATGCGATAATCTTCTGATCTCCTTTTTCCAACCGTGTGCCATGTGTCCATATTGTATCGTTAAAACATATTATCACGTTGGAAATTTTGGTTCATAGACTTCAATTTAGATTGTTAAGTGGAACACACACTAAGTACTCGTCGTCCAATATTTAATAGTTTTTTCCAAACCTCTCGAATTACAAAATAAATGAACTTTTTGTGTCTCTAAGGCTGGTTTTAGTGTCACGCGGACTGTCAGTAGGTACGGATCGTTCCGCATAGCCGATCTGTATGAACTGCTAGGGAGCGAGCGGTTCCTCCGGACCGCATCACTCTAAAACGCTCCCTAGAAGTTCATACAGATTGGCCGTGCGGAGCGGGTCCACACCGGACGGTCCGCGTGACACTAAAACCAACCTAAATGAACTCTTTGTCTCAATAAATGAACTCACCTCACTAACGCGATCCCCGAACCCAGATCAAAGGCGAACTCCACGAAGTAGTCCCGGAGATGTAGCGAGAAGAAGTCCCCATCCCCGCTGGCGTGTTCAGAGTTGTACAGCACTAGTCCATCGCCGTTTGTTGGCTTTAGTGTGATCTGAAAAAAAGCACATAGATATTCATATGGTAGAATAAATAGAGCAGAGTAGAATAAGATAGGAAGGACTCTTAACACCCGTATTCACAAACGATGCTTGAATGAAGCAGCAAATAGAACGCACAGCGTTGAATAGAGCTCTGTGATTGATTGGCTCGAGTGTGACCCAGGATTTACAGTTTTGCCGCCCGTAGGCTAGGGTAGGGTTGGATCTTTATTTAACTCTTATCTTCTGAAATCGAGTAAGCGTCATCTGAAATCTGCCGCCCCTAGGACGCTGCCGCCCCTAGGCCGCGGCCTATACGGCCTATTGACAGATCCAGGACTGGTGTGACTGTGACACTCACTCCCCTCTCGAGTGAGTACGTGAGACGAGTTGAGACCTCATTGTAATGTTTGTGAATACGGGCGTAAGTCTTCCCATGGACCTGAAGAGGCGACCAAGGTAGAAAATTATGCGAACATCAGCCCTTCTAAACCCGATTGGCCAGCGTGAGAAGTGTAAGAAAATTGATCCCTTTCGCCTTGGTAAATTGAAAGGGTCGCCATTCTGCAGTGAAGATTAAATGACTTGATGATGATTACAACAATATAAAATGCTCTCGATGTATGTGGACAGAAATATCGGCCGAAAACTGTCTTGAAAGTAGCGAGCAGTGCAAAACAATAACAGCTTATTTTTAGTATTTCAAAGGTTAAGTTCTGATGTACAACTGTAAAACTTTGGTTTATAAAAAAATACGCCGGTGTATTCAACTTCGAACTCATTCTTAGTTCAAAGAAACTATTAACTAGTAACAAATGATCACTTGCATTCCAAAGTTTCACTCCCAATCGTTGAGAGCAGCCATTAAACATCATCAGAACTTTTAACGAGACTCATGGGCATCGGAGGAACTCCACTAACTAATAAACTGTTGTGAAAATACGCTATTAAACTGGCCAACTTCGATTGTTGTTGAAACATTTGTATTTAAATTGAAATGTGAAATGATTATGAGTTTTGCAAACTATTTTGCTGGATTCTGTTTGAGGTTTGGTTTGATTAAGAACTTTGTTACTTGGCACGCAAAAAGATAAATGCTCGTGAAATCTACCATTAAGCATAAATACAAATCATAAAATCTCTAGTGTAGCAATATGTCTTCATTTCTTCTAATTAAGTTCGAGTGACTACCGTTAGCTTTGGTAGCAGGAAAGCGCTGGACGCAGGCCGCTACCAGCCGGGCAACATGGAAAGCATTGGGGAGGCCTATGTTCAGCAGTGGACGTCCTATGGCTGAGATGATGATGACTACCACGGGCTGGAAGGCGCAGTGTGACTGTGGGCAGGCCCCCCACTACGTGAACCGACGATCTGGTTGCAGGCGGCGCAGGACAGGTCGCTGTGGAAGTCCTCAGGGAAGGCCTTAGTCCAGCAGTGTACATCATTTTGGCTGAAACTAACGAACTAATTTCCATCAGACATAGCCCCTTTTTCTATAACAAAATATAGTCTGTAGATAACTTTCTTCCTAAGTTCAATGTAATTCTATCAGAATTCATTTTAAAATAAATGAAACCATTTGAAGAAGACATACTACATCTAAAATGCCACTTTTCATTAAAAATAAAAGGCACATCAAATACAAAGTTGGTGTCTTTTAATCCTTTAAAAATGTCTTAGACATTTAATTACAGTCTACAAGCTTCTTTATAATTCCACACAATCACCTAAGAGGGCTCCCAACTTAAAGTACCTACTCGTAAATTATGTTACTCACCTACAAAAAGTTCATTTTGTGGAGCTATTAAAAACTTTGGCTTGTTAAAAAATATGAGTAAACCTTACTTAGCACTTTGTTTTTTATTTTTAATTCACTGTACTTTTTTGAGGCGGTTATCAACTTTGCCTTTATGGGTGGAGTTTCCAAGTACATTGTGAATATTGTGTTGTGATATTGAAGTTTGTTCGTTCGTTTCAGCCGAAAGACGTCCACTGCTGGATATTGAAGTAAATAAATAAAATTAATAATAATAATGAATGAAAGACGATATCCATTTCGTTAAGAGTTTTCATCCGCTTTGCACTGATGGGAAGTCGAGCCTTAACTTCGAACTCTTCCTATGTTCTTCTAATTAATTTCGTTGCGGGTCCAATGACAGTTTAACTTTCCCCCGGGTCAAACTTGACCTTCACTGATTGGGTTTTTATAGCGGTCAAGCTGTAGATCCTGGCTACACAGGAGTTGCAGCGGCGGGAACGAGAGGTGGGGATAGTCCCGTTTTCGTCGCAATTTTGAAGTGACGCTGCATTGGACTGTTCCATTTACCTGTGCCCCTATACTCTCATGCACGTAAATTTTTAACCTTGATGGTTTGATCTACCATCATTTCAAACAACTACAGGTCTATCGTTTAATTGAGTCTGTGCCTGAGGCATGGGTGCGGCACGGGAGGATGTTTTTTCATCGAGGAGGCATATGCTGAGTGGGGTCCCATTGCGATGGACATCGCTGTGCGACAGGGTGGCACTGCTCAGTTTACTTTCTCTTCCATTGTATGTTTTATATATTGTCACCTCTGTCTTGTTTGCTTTTTTTTTATTTACCTCTTGTCTTTTGTGATGTCCATGGCAATAAATGTGTCTTTCTTTCTTTCTTTTTGTAGAGAGACTCAGACTACATTTTCTTCAGACTTGTATGCTGTCACGTCGTTTATGTCACTGTTCCCGGGTCGCTCTCATACCCCAAGCACTGACTCAGATATGGGCTACTTAGACCTGTTCATAATTATTTTTGTTTTTTTTTGTGCTTTTACCTGAATATCCAGCCAAGACTGAGCTGAATTTCCTAAGCCAGGAAGCCGTAGGTATGATGAGCCGTTGAATCTTGGGACCTGGAAATAAAAATAATTTATATTAAGCAAAGAATAAAAAAATCTAACTTTTAACCTATTCGCCGATCTTAAAACTTGTTGAAAAGCTTGGTAACTTTATAAAAGCTTAAACTATTGTATGGCAAAGGAACTTTTGGATATTATACTCTGTTAAGTTTATAAAACTTTGACAAGTCAATAAGTTTGCACTTTAAAAGCTCGTTTTTCTACGACGAAGAATTTTCGCTGTAGTGATTTGACTACCTACGGATTATGGAACGTAAAAGTTTGTATGAAAAATTGATTCAAAAGAGGATTCAACCTCTTTGGAAAATATTAGTTTTTTAAAGTTCATTTTTTATACAAAGTTAGACAATGGCGTATTCCATACAGCCAGGACTTCATTGATTAAAAAAATGTGATTTGAATTTGTAAATCATAATTCAATGAATGAAATTTTTAACCACAGATTATACTCATAGTTAATGGACTCTGCTTTGTCAACTTGAATAATCTTAGATAAATGATTCTTCAGTAAAAAAAAATATGATTAAATTAGTTTCATCTAATAAAGGTTTTCTCACCTTCAAATCCAAAGTGATCTCACACTTCTTCCCTGCATACCCTAGTGGGCATAGGCAGACCTTCCCCACACAGCCGCCACCATGCTGGCATTCACACTTATCATCTCTATCCATCTTCATCACCTTCATCTCATCACCTTTTAGTTCATTATCCACTTCATTACCCTCTCTCCCATCACCCCTATCCTCTCCAAGTCTTATTTTTGGGATATCATCAAAAGGTTTGTGTATTTTGAACTGAACCGTGTTCTCCATTTTGTTTTGGTCGTGGTATTTGTTCGAGTCGCGCATCACGAGGTCGTTGTCCTCAAAATGGACGATGTCGTTTATGTCGTAGATGGCGTGGGTGTTGACGTCATTGGGATGGTGATGAGGGATTGTCTGGCTGGTGGTGATCTCGCTAGGTCGCCATGGAGCCAGGGTGGGGGCGCATTCACCTGTAAAAAAAATGTTTTAAAGTCAATAAAAGGTTTGCAGTTCCTAGTGATTACAAATTAACAAGAATTTCAGTAGGTTTCAGAATCCTTGAAAAACGCAGTCGCAATAATGATTCGTCGATATTTTGGAGCATTGTTAATTCCTTGCCTAAAAGATCAAAATCTCTCAGATAGTTTCCTGAACGCCCCTTAGTGCATCTTTTTCGGAGTTGCACTGAGAAACGCTAAGCAGGGTACTCATCTAGCCGTGTAGCATGTAATGTATCAGATAGTGTATCAAGTGAGTACATAGGCACGAGCCCGCTGCGAGCTGCTCGCGCGTGGTTCGCAGGGAGATCGCAGCGACCCGCCGAGTGGCGGTATCACTGCGAGCACAAAGGCGGCTCGCAGTAGGATCCAGGAGCTCGCAGCTAGATACGCGATGACCGTGGACGAGCCGTACTCACTTGAAGGTTGTACGTACACGTTACATGCTACGTTACGTGCTACATGGCAGGTGAGTACCCTGCCCTAGGGACTAAAACCAAGTCACCCAAAGGTTTCACCAGAGGCAACCCCAGGTGACCAAAAAGTTGACAAAACATCCTTATTCCAATCGTAACAAAGACGTGTTGCGAACTTTTTGGCTACTTTGGATATCACGAAGTATTTGATGCTGACTGTACTATCCGAAACGATACACAAAGCTCCTGAAAAGAACATGTACAGACCGCAGCATATGAAGCTCTGGCATCATATACCCTTGTATTAAGCACTATTTTGTATAAAATTCTAATATTCTGAACACTGTACAAAATCCGTGAACATCGCGGGTGTGACACGTCATTACGTATTCACGAAGAGAACGCGGGATTTGATTATACAGGGCGTGTGTAAAACAGGGTACAGTCGGTACAACAAGGTTGGTTTTTACGCAGTTGTGTTAGGTACGATATTTCAAAAAATGATTATGTTGTTGACTGTACATTGAGCTGATACGAGTAGGTGTTTGAATAATACGCTGTTTGTTTTTATAATTCATTGCCTAAATCCTTTTTGGTTGACAATTTAGGCTGTTTTCNGCTTCAGAATGGATTTAAGTAGTGTATGGTCCATGCTAAACTAACTATGTACTAAGAAAACCCGTATGTATGTATGGGATTTCCAAATGTTATTAGTTAAGTGTCTCCAATTAAAATCAATCTGAGTGTGCTGTGAATTTGTACCAATTTAGTAGGTATTCCCAGTGATCTCATCTGATAAGTGGTTTGATTTGAACGACTGCTATGATATCTTAGTAGTGTGTGTGAAATGCGATAAAGAAATGAGTATTGAGTGTAATAAATCTACCATAGTACTAACTTTTCCCGCGGCTTCTCTTGCGTAAGGTTCAGTCTGTGAAAGAAAAACTTCATCGCGTGTTTAAGAACTATAATTTTATCTAAATCTGGTAAAGTAACCTTGTTTTACTATCCATCCATGGATACGTCATTTTGTTTTCATCAAATTAGGAACCATAAAATTGTTTCATTAATATCGCTTAAAAGGAATAAACTAAAACAACTAAGGGCCGATTTTTCAATCGTCAGTTAACTTTTATCTGAAGAATAAACTTGTCATTTTGACATAATTATTTCCCATACTGAAACTGTCAATGTGCCCAACTTATTCCTCAGTTAAAAGTTATCCAACGATTTAAAAATCAGACCTTAGTACTATAAATTAACCACGATTGCAAGAAACCTAACTAAGATTAAGTACCGCGAAGAATGTTAGAAAGTACTTTTAATTCATCCTCAAAGGATTACGTTAGTTTCAACACCCGCAGAAAATCTAGATAATTTATCTTTAAACCGTTCCAGCGAGACACCACAGTGTAAATACAATATAGAAGGTTCAAAAAATCAAAAATATTTATTCAGTTTAGACCACAAGTGGCACTTATGAACGTCAATAGAAAATAATAAAAAAAGAAAAAGTTAGCCCTTATGGGGCACTTTACATGTCTCCTTATCTTTTGGGCCCTACCAGCGCTTCGAGACAAACATAACATACTTGTTTAGTAAAAAAATATAGGTAACTTATTATTGTCAACGGGACTTAAAACTGGAAAGCTTTCAGCCAAAATTGTCACTAACATATTTTAAACAGGAGGTAATGTAATAAAAAAAAATATCACAAGAACGGAAGCGAAATTTTTCTTCAAGCAAAACCACTTATGTCTTTTTTCAAGTCTTAAATCTGCCAATTATTAACTAACCCAATGCTAACTTAGATCACTATTTTGAAAAACTCTCACTATTTCTCATAAATAAAGAAGATGGTGACTTCAGCGTCGTTCAGGTAAAGAAAGAGAAAATTATAAAAAAAGGTAAATTAAGAAGCGCCAAACTTTTGACTAATAAAAATAATTTTTTTAGTTATTTTTGTCCACAACGAGAAAGTTCTTGCCTTGCATCTCACCATCGACATAAAAAATAATATGAATAAGTATTTTATTTTTAGAAAATGCTGAAATTTATTATTTAATTGGGGCTTCAAGCTACAAAGTACCATACAATTTTCATTTTAACCGCCTCTGTGGTCTAGTGGTAAGACCACCTGCTTCAGACGCAGAGGTCCCGGGTTCGATTCCCAGAGGGGGCAGATTTTTCTGTTCGATTTGGTTGGTGGTAGGGCTTGTTCTAAGTCCGCCTGGCCTAGCTACCACCATCTTACCTAAGTCTGCCACCATAACAACAATGTTAACAGCATTGTTGTGTTCCCGCAGTTAGAGGTAAGATTCCGGGTGAAGCTCGCTTCCACCTTCAGCCTGATCATCACTTACCATCAGGTGAGATACAGGCCAAGAGCTTCCTCGTTGAGGATACATAAAAATAAATAAAATAATTTGATTTTCACTAGATAATTAACTGAATTTACTGAATATAACTCCAACTGTGGTCCAAGTAACACACACCAAAAGTTTCCTGAACTGAAAAGAAAGTGCAGAAGTGTAAGAAATGCCATTTATCACCGTAATACTTAATCTTTTAAGTCGGCTGTCGGTTGAGGATACGTGTACAAATGGTGTGTAGTACACAGTATACAGGGTGGTAAATTAAAGCTATTAATAATCTAAGAAATCTTCTGGATCTTGTTCTATGTAAATTTTACAACTTTCAATAATTTTATTAATTAGCAGACTTAGTTTGAGATCTTTTATTCAATTGATTATGCTCGCGAATCCATTGCGTAGTTTGGATAGACATCACAGAACGAAACCTTATACAGGGTGTTAGGTAAATGGGTATATGAGCCGACACTAGCCCATGTTAACATGGGCATATAAATGGTATGGTGAAGTCAGAAAATTGATATTTTCATTTTAATTATTTTAATTTTCATACAAATCGGATTTTATAAAATTTATTTTGTATGAAAATTTAAAAAATTAAAATGATGATATCAAATTTCTGACTTCACCATACCATTTATATGCCCATGGTAACATGGGCTAGTATCGGCTCATATACCCATTTACCTAACACCCTGTATTGTAGATCCTAGGAATGCTAGTTTGAACCCCACCGCTGGACTATTGTAGTAAACACAAACAGTTGTTTTTGGGGCAAAAAAAAAATAGGTATCCAACTTTCAATAATTGAAAGTAAATAATTTGGAAATTATTTTAAAAGGCATATTGACATACATTTTGATCAAATGGTAACGAAGCGTTAGTAGGGCCCAAAGACAAGGAGACATGTAAAGTGCCCCTTAAGGGCTATCTTTATTATTTATCTTTAAAGTTCATAAGTGCCAAAATACTGGTAAAAATTAAAAAAAAAAATGATTTGATTTGATTTTGAAAAACAGTTCACAGCCTGTATTTCAGCATAACTCAGCTACTGGCAAAGTTCAACTCCTGCGGGTGACAAGACAAATCGTCGTGGACCTCACACGGAACAAACACGTACCCACTGGATTATGGGAGGCGCTGAATATTTTAACCTTAAGTAGGCTTGTCGAGCGGTTTTAGAATACGAGCCGAAAAAAGAAGTACCCAAAACAAACGATTCGGTGGAAATTAACAAAATAAAGAAAGATATACATAGAATAGAGAAAAACTAATTATGTGTGTACGTGTATGTAAATTTAAAAATGTATTATGTATCTATGTCGTGCTACGGCTATCCAACTCGGTGGACCGACGATCTGGTGAAGGTCGCGGAAATTACCTGGATGCCTTATATTGTTTTAAACTTTCATGGTCACTAACATAATTTATAGCCACGATAGCCGAACGGTGAAGAGGTCGGAGTGGCCGACTCGAGATCCGAGGAACGCGGGTTCGAATCCCACCGCCGCTCGACTATTGTGGTGAGCCCACTCGTAACACAAGCTCATTTAGCTTAACACGAGGGGCTAACGGGACTATTGGTAATTTGGACCGTCCAGAGTATCGTATAGTTTTCGAGACTCATTCATCATCATCGTCATTTCAGCCATAGGACGTCCACTGCTGAACATAGGCCTCTCCCAATGACACAATGACCGGGTGGCAGCGGCCTTTGGCTTTCGCGACTTTAGTCAATGGAAAATGATTTTTTTTTGCTTTCTTAATCCAAATTTACTGATGAAGACACAAAAAGCATCTTTTGTAGTTGTAATAGGCACGTTTTAATTATTATGCCAGCTGCCTGACGACCGTGCTGACATGATTTATCTGTCCAAAAGTTTTCCTATTTCTTCCTTATCAATGTCTGCGATAATAAAAGTTGAAGTACCTACACTCGACGGCGCAACACGTGTATCAGTTGAACTTCAAATAGGACACTTATTCTGAGAGGAATAAGAGNTAGACAAACCAAGAACGTGTAAATTAAATGCTCTTACTCCTTATGGTGGTTGAGCGTCATGTTCCACAACTTCAGCTTTATAATATTAGTATAGATTATGCTCGCGAATCCATTGTGTAGTTTGGATAGACATCACAGAACGAAACCTTATATTGTAGATCCTAGGAATGCTAGTTTGAACCC